CTCCTCTGGACTCCCCTGGCTCCTCCTCTCGGCTCCCCCTGGCTCCTCTTGCCTCTCCTCGGCTTCTCCTCTCTGCTCCCCCTGGCTCCTCTCGGATCTCCTCGGCTCCTCTGGACGCCCCTGGCTCCTCCACTCTGCTCCCCCTGGCTCCTCCTCTCGGCTCTCCTCGGCTCTTCTCGGCTCCTCCTCTCGGCTCTCCTCGGCTTCTCATCTCGGCTCCTCTCGGCTCTCCTCGGCTCCTCTCGGATCTCCTCGGCTCCTCCTCTCGGCTCCCCCTGACTCCTCCTCTCGGCTCCTCTCCAGCCTCAGCAGGCAGACGGAAACGCTCCGCAGCGTCGCGGCTCGGTTCTCCTCTCTGTCCGCTCTCCAGGCCTCCGGACCGGCTCGCTCTCAGCCCGCAGTCCGGCGGCGGACCTTCGTCCTCCGGGACAGACAGCTGCGGCTCAGCCTGACCCTTTCCGGATCTCCTCCTCTGCCCCTCCGCGGTGGAAAACCCCGGACGGAGGCCCGAGGTGTGCGCTCCTCCTCCCGCAGGCCCTCGGCCCGGACCCCCGCGAAATGGACGGACTCACCGGCAGTTTGGGTGAGTATGGACCGGTCCGCAGCCCGAACCAAACCGAACCCGCTCACCCTCCGTTGCATGGGTGGGAAGGTGAGGGTCGCACGCGCCTCTGGCAGCTTTACACGTGTCACTGCTGTTTGTTTGAGGAAGAACCTGCACCGCCCCTGTGGCCGCTGCAGGGCCGCGAAACCAACACCCCCGCCTGTGAACCCAGAATGAGTCCAAGCAGAAATTATGAGCTATAGAACCAGAAGCAGCAGGAGATCTGCAGCTTGAGCTAGATCTGTTTCCGGTCCAGATCTGCAACTGGGTCTGCACCAGAGCTGCAGCTGGATCTGGTTCCGGACTAGATCTGCAGCTGGATCTGGACCAGAGCTGCAGCTGGATCTGCTCCAGAGCTGCAGCTGGATCTGGTTCCGGACTAGATCTGCAGCTGGATGTGGACCAGAGCTGCAGCTGGATCTGGACCAGAGCTGCAGCTGGATCTGCTCCAGAGCTGCAGCTGGATCTGGTTCTGAACTAGATCTGCAGCTGGGTCTGGTTCTGGACTAGATCTGCAGCTGGATCTGGTTCTGAACTAGATCTGCAGCTGGGTCTGGTTCCTGACTAGATCTGCAGCTGGGTCTGTTCCGGACTAGATCTGCAGCTGGGTCTGGTTCCGGACTAGATCTGCAGCTGGATCTGGTTCCTGACTAGATCTGCAGCTGGATCTGGTTCCTGACTAGATCTGCAGCTGGATCTGGACCAGAGCTGCAGCTGGATCTGGACCAGAGCTGCAGCTGGTTCTGGACCAGATCTGCAGCTGGATCTGGTTCCGGACTAGATCTGCAGCTGGTTCTGGACCAGAGCTGCAGGTGAATCTGGTTCCAGACTAGATCTGCAGCTGGATCTGGAGCAGAACTGCAGCTGGATCTGGACCAGAGCTGCAACAGGTTTTGGTTCTTGTAACCTTCGGGTCAGTTCGGGTCTTTGAGTCGGTTCTGGTGGCCTTTGATACGGTTTTGGTGGCCTTTTGGTCAGTTCTTGTGGCCCTTAAGTCGGTTCTTGTGACCCTTAAGTCGGTTCTTGTGACCTTTGGGCGGGTTCTGGTGTCCTTCGGGTCAGTTTGGGTCATTGGGTCGGTTCTTGTGGCCCTTAAGTCGGTTCTTGTGGCCTTTTTGATCTAAGCGGGTGCTCTGTCTGGTGTTCTGCAGATGACAGCATGTCGGCGACGAGCGTCTCGGACGTCAACGACCGCCTGTCGGCGCTGGAGCTGCGCGTCCAGCAGCAGGAAGACGAGCTGACGGTGATGAAGGCGGCGCTGGCCGACGTGCTCCGTCGCCTCTCTGCATCCGAGGACTCTGCAGCGAGCAAGAAGCAGCACGCAGCGAAAGGTATGGAACTTCAGCCTGTTGCCGTGGCAACACAGGTGAACATGTAGCCAACGGCTCTATGCTGCCCCCTGCAGGTGGCGCCGCCATGCGTGAAGCCTACTCCATGTCCTGCATCTCTAACGGAGGAACGCCTGGACGGAAGAGAGACTCCGCCTCTGTCACCAGGAAGGAGACGATGTCGTCCGCCGCCAAGAGGTAAGAACCCCTCTGGCTCCGCCTCCGCAGGTGGCGGCTCACAGCGAGCCTGGTTCTGGTTCCGGTTCTGCTGGAAGTTCTTCCTGTTAAAGGGAGTTTTCCTCTCTGAACGTTTCTTCTGCAAAAAAAACAAAAACAAGATAAAAATCAGTCAGAAGGTAAGAAAACAGAGAATAGATGATTTTATTTTGTGATCGCCCGATCAACACTTTCCAGACCCTGTCTGAACATTTCCTTAATCATCTGCTTTACTTCACTGTTTAAGGAGGAGAAGAACGGAGAGACACAGAGAACCAAAGGATCAGTAGATCTGCCTTTTGGTTCAGGGGATCAGACTCCTGGGCCAGAACTGTTCTAGTTCTCCGAGTCAGACTCCTGGGCCAGAACTGTTCTAGTCACTGGGGGAAAAAAAAAGCACAGAGCAAGTTTCAAAAACGTAGAAAACGTCTGAACAGAAGCTCCCCTGATTCTAGAACCGTTCCTGGAGGGCGAGTGTTCTCACCATAGGGTGAACCCTCACCCTTCAACAGTAGGGTGAACCCTCACCATTCCACCGTTGTTAGAACCCTAGCCCTTCCACCTTAGGGAGAACCCTAACCCTTCC